CTACTCCCTATATCATATCTCTATCTATCTCTCCCCCACATGTGGTGTGTACTCTCTACTTCTATATTCTTATCATATCTATTCTATCTATCTCTTATATATACCTTATCTCTCCTCCCCATTCTATTATCTCTATACTCTATATATCTCATATTCTCTCTCTCTATATATATCTCTATCTGTCTCTTCATACTATCTTATCATATATATCTCTGTATTCTCCATATAAATTATATATCTTACCACTATATATATATAAGATATATATTTCTATATATTTTCATATATATTATAGTATTATATATATTAGATATATATATTCTTCTCTATATTATAATATACTATATATTATATCTATCTATATTACTATATACGATCGTATAGTTCTATCTCTATAATCTAATTCTATATATATATATTATATATATATCTAAATTCTATATTATATTTATATTTATGATATAATATATATATATATTGTTATATATATATATACTATTATATATATATATATCTATACTCCCATTATATATATATCTATATCTATCTATACAATAAAATACATTATTAATTATTATATATATTATATATAATCTCTAACCATTATATAATATATATCTCTATATATCTATCTATTCCTATATTATATTCATTATATATATATATATCTTATATATAATATAGTATATTATTTATATATATATATATATAGTATTTTACCATATATATATATCTCTTATATATATATATTATATATATATATATTAATTATATACTTATATATCACATTATATATATTATATATATCTATTATCTATATATATCAATTATTAATATATATATCTAATATATATATATATCTTATCTAGCTCAGACTATATTACTACTTATACATTTATATTATATTATATATAGTATATTATACGATGCATTAAACCGATCTCTACTCTATATATCTCTCTCTATATATATTCTCTTATATTCCTTTAGATATCTTCTATACTCTCTCTATTACTCTCTATATCTTATCTCTCTCTGTCTTATATGTCCTCTACTCATCTATATACTCTCTCTTCTCTCTATATTCTATCTATATATATATATATATATATGATATATCTATCCATTCCATGTATATATATATATATATAATATTTATATATAGCTATCTAATATATAGATCTCTATGTCTAATCATACAATTATATCATCTATAATATATCCTTATATATTATATCTATATTATAATTATATTCATATTCTATATATATACTTTCATGTATCTATAATTATATATATATCTATATGATATATATATATCTATCTAGTCAATCTCTCCTAACTATCTTCTATATGATATTTACACATATATATATATATCTCTGATATATATATATATATATATACTTATAATATATATCTATATATGTAGATTATTTATATATTATATATATATCTAATCTCTATAATCTATCTATCTATTCCATTATAATTCTTATATATTACTATCTCATATATATAGATCTATATATATATATTCTATTCTATATATATATATATATCTATATATATATATAATATATTTTATCTATCTCTTCATCTCTATATACGTATATCGCTCATAGTATTATTATTATTATATATTATATATTAGATTGATATATATATATATATTATATGGTATATATATATTATCTTTATCATATATAGTACATATTACTAGACTATATAATCCCTATATCTCTATTATATATTATATATATATATCCTATATATATTATATCTAATTATTATAATATTCTATATTATCTATCTTCTATAGATAATATATATATTATATACATCTATATATTATATATATATTATATATCTATTCTTATATATATAATATATTATATAACTACATATATATCTAATTATCTATACATATCTATATCTATTATATCTACATATATTATATATTATATATACATCTATATATAGTTATATATACATATCTATATATTATATATACTATATATATATTATATTACTATATATATATTAATATATACATAATATAATATTAATAATACATCTATATATATTCATATATACCTTTATAATATGATATATTATATATACATATATATATTCTATAATCATATATATATTAGATATCACATATATATATTTTATATACCATTATATAGTAATATACATATATATTATTATATACATATATATTATTATGACATATTATAGTTAATATACATATATAAAGTTATAGATACCATACATATAGGTCTATATACATATCTATACTTATATAATACATCTATATAGAGTATATATACCTATATATATATTTAAATACCTCTATAATTATATTACCATCTATCTCTAATATTAATATATTATATATATATATCATATATATATATATATATCTAATAATTCTATATCCTATATATATTTCATTCATTATATATCTATATATCTCCTATATATCTATATCTAT